ACAGTTGAAAACGCATTTCAGTCAAAACTAAAATTACGGTCTCAGAATTCTAAAATTAGGGGGAGAGAGTTTGGAGAAAATAGCAAAAATAAAAATCAAGGTGGAAATTATAATAATCAACAAAAAGGAAAATATTCACCTTGTGGAGTTTGCAAAAAGACCAACCATCTTGAGAAGGATTGTTGGTACAGAGATAAACCACAATGTAAAAATTGTGGTAAATTCGGTCATGTGGAGAAAAATTGCCGCATAAAAAAATATCAAGCAAATTTCTCTGAAGAAAATGAAAAAGGAGAAAATTTGCTATTCTATGCAACACATGCAACTTCAGAAGAGAAAAATGATATTTGGTTCCTAGATAGCGGCTGTAGCAACCATATGACCGGAGATGAGAAGAAATTTAAAAATATTGATAGATCTGTAAAATCACAAGTTCGATTAGGAAATGGAGATCTAGTAGAAGTTGAAGGCAAAGGCTCAATAGAAGTCGAGACCCAAAAAGGTACTCGTCTCGTAGAAGATGTGCTGCTAGTACCAAAACTTGATACTAATTTACTCAGCGTGGGACAAATGGTGGAAAAAGGATACAAGCTACTATTCAAAGACAACTCTTGCACTATTTATGACAACAAAAATAATCCAATAGCTGTAGTAAACATGCAACAACGGAGAAATTTTCCACTCCGTTGGAAATTCATAGAAGCAGCACTAAAAGCCGAAGAAGATCAATCCTGGCTATGGCATCGAAGATTCGGGCACTTCAACTTCAACGGGCTAAAGTTACTTCATCAGAAAAATATGATGAAAAATCTACCGGCCATCCAAATGAACAACAATCTCTGCGAAAAGTGCATGGAGGGCAAACAACATAGGAAACCATTTCCTTCAAGCCAAGAAGGAAGAGCCAAACAAATACTGGAGCTGGTGCATACAGATGTGTGTGGACCAATGAGAACGCCAACCTTCGAGAAGAACAGGTACTTCATCCTCTTCATTGATGACTACACAAGAATGACTTGGGTGTACTTCATGAAAGAGAGATCAGAAGTCTTCTCTATTTTCAAGAAATTTAAAAGCCTCGTCGAAAATCAGAGTGGAAAAAGAATTAAAGTACTTCAGAGTGATCGAGGTACAGAGTACACATCCAAGGAGTTCAACAAAGTCTGCGAGGATGAAGGAGTCAACCATCAGCTAACTGTCGGCTACGCTCCAGAGCAAAATGGCGTGTCAGAAAGGAAAAACAGAACCGTGCAAGAGATGGCCAGGACAATGCTTGCGGAGAAGAACATGCCAAAAGAATTTTGGGCAGAAGCTGTGTACACTGCAGTTTATATACTCAACAGGTGCCCTACTAAAGCTGTCCAAAATAAAACTCCAATAGAAGCTTGGAGTGGACGAAAGCCATCAGCCCAACATTTACGAGTCTTTGGGAGTATTTGCTATGTTCACATCCCAAAGGAAAAGAGGCATAAACTAGAGGAGAAGTCCGAGAAAGGTATATTCCTCAGCTATGCGTCTCAATCTAAAGGATACAGAATTTACATCCTCAAGGTTGGTAAACTAATTATCAGTCGAGATGTCGAGTTCGATGAAAATGCTACGTGGAACTGGGAGGAAGAAAAGGTCGAATACCAAAATATCATGGTACCTGTATCCCGGAGGCAAAATATCATACCAAAAGAACCAGAAGATGAAGCAGAAGATACACAATCACCTTCAACTCCACAACCCTCCAGTCTAAGGACATCATCACCATCAAGCAATGAACAGTCATCCCCTGAATCACCACCAAGAAAAGTACGGACACTCAGGGAGATCTACGAAACATACAATTTTGCCACGATGGAACCAGAGGACTTTGAAGCAGCAGTAAAGCAAAAGGAATGGGTAAAAAAAGCCATGGAGGAAGAAATCAGGATGATCGAGAAGAATAAAACTTGGGAGTTGGTCGATCCACCAAATAACAAGGAAGTCATTGGAGTCAAATGGGTCTACAAAACAAAGCTGAATTCAGATGGCTCAATCCAAAAACATAAAGCACGACTGGTAGCTAAAGGGTACTCACAACTTCCGGGGATCGACTACAACGAGACCTTCGCTCCAGTTGCTCGGCTAGATACTATAAGGGCTCTAATCGCTCTCGCGGCCCAGAAGAAATGGAAAATCTACCAGCTCGATGTAAAGTCAGCATTCCTCAATGGCTATCTAGAAGAAGAGATCTATGTCGAACAACCTCAAGGGTTCGTGGCAGAAGGACAAGAAAATAAAGTCCTAAAACTAAAAAAGGCGCTTTATGGATTGAAACAAGCCCCACGAGCTTGGTACAGCCGAATTGATGACTACTTCACCAGTCATGGATTCAAAAGAAGCGAAATTGAGCCAACACTCTACATCAAAACCCAAGGTAACGACAACAAACTCATTGTTTCTCTTTATGTTGATGATCTTATTTATACAGGGAACAATGAGGAGATGATTAAGGAGCTCAAAGAAGATATGATGAAGACCTTTGAGATGACAGACCTTGGGCAAATGAGCTATTTTCTTGGTATTGAGGTAAACCAAGAAGAAAATAGGATATTTATCTCACAGAGGAAATACACAGATAATCTATTAAAAAGGTTCAAGATGGACGGCTGTAAACCCGTGGCGACTCCTATGGTTGCGAACGAAAAATTAAGTAAAGACGACGGTACACCAAATGCAGACGCATACACATACCGAAGTCTGATTGGAAGCCTACTATATCTAACGGCCACAAGACCAGATATCATGTACGCGACAAGTCTTCTATCGAGGTTCATGCAAAGTCCGAGCCAAGTTCACTATGGAGCCGCGAAGAGAATACTGCGATATTTGCAGGGTACTAAAGACTACGGAATCAAATACGAATATAACGAAGACTCAAGACTGATCGGATACACAGACAGTGACTGGGCTGGATCAACTGACGATATGAAAAGCACCTCAGGCTACACATTTTCACTTGGCTCAGGCATATTCTCATGGTCATCTAAAAAGCAAAACTGTGTGGCGCAATCTTCTGCAGAAGCCGAGTACGTCGCAGCAGCATTAACGACAAGTCAAGCTATTTGGCTTAGGCGTATTCTTGGATACATGGGAGAACACCAAGAAAGTCCAACAGAGATATATTGCGACAACAAGTCAGCGATAGCAATGGCAAAAAATCCTGTACATCACAGCAGAACCAAACACATTGCTATCAAATATCACTTTCTACGTGAAGCCACTAATGATAAGCAGATAGAGCTCACATATGTTGTCACTGAAGATCAACTTGCAGATATTTTCACAAAGGCTTTACCGCGACCAAGATTTGAGACTCTACGAGAAAAACTTGGAATTATCCAAATGAGCATTAAGGGGGAGTGTTAAAAATTAATGCTCATTTTCTAGAAACTAATATTTATGCTCATTAAAGAAATTAGTTGGAAGTTAGTAAGAATTAGTTGGTTAGATATTAGTTTGCTGTTGAAATAAATAAATTAGTTAGTTGTTAAAAAAAAAAAAAAATTAATGATATGTTAATCCAAAAAGCAATATATATATATGTGTGTCATGCGTGTAGAGGAGTAGAAAAGGAATTCATCAGATAATAAATATTTTGTCTCTTTACTATCATTCCTCAACATATTCACTTTCTCATATTATTAAATAAACGTAATTGTTCTCCATTGTTCACAAATCTCAAATATCATTCTCTAACTACAATTATAAATTATTTAGATACTAACAGTTATATAATTGGTTTTACCTTTACGTGAGGTGAACAAATACTATAAGCTTCAGAGGTGATTAATTGATTGATATTAGGCGTATTATACGTCCCATGTTCCAGGGAACATGTCATATTAGTCAAAAGTCCAACGCAATTTCAATATATTCCATTTAGGTGTATGTACCCTCAAATATTAGCGGAAAAATTTGCACAATCTAATGATAAAATATTTATTTTAATAAAATGTTCACATACTTAAACTAACTTAGATACTTAAACTAATTTAGTAGAATCTGCGTAAGCTAGCAAATAATGTAGGGTCCTTTTAATCTGATTTTCACGATCCCCACAAAAACAAAGACCTGAACTAATTATTTAGGTAATTCAGATCAGCCACTATTGGACTCCTCACATAATGCCTACCATCAGTCCACAACAGCTCCCCAAAATAATAATCATTCTTCACACCTCTCTTAGCCTTTATGGTCACCCTAAATGCCTTCTCCTCCCCTACTTCCTTAAACTCGAGCACTTTCGGCTCCACCGAGACCATAAATCCCGGAGGCTGGCGGACCCGCGACGTGTACTTCCCAGGCGAGCCCACATTCTTCACCCTCCGAGTCACGGTCGCTGAGCTGTTCACCTGTGGGACCATGATTGACGGGTTGTTGAAGTCGAGCACGCTGTATTTAGTCGGGCAGTCGTACTGCGATGTGGCGAAGTTGGCGAGAAGCGTCTGATTGTAGCCGCACCCACATAGAAAGTCGAGGTAGTCGTTCACCGTCAGGTCGTAGACCAGGCCCGGGTCTTGGGCCCGGTTCGGCCTGATGTGGCCCGATCCGTACATCAACGGCGTGGCCTTCGTTTGGTCCCAGTCTTGCAATGGCTTACCCGAGTTGTCGCGTGTCCTCGCTAAACAACAAAATCCAATCACAAGTCACCAATTAATTATAAAAGTGATTTTTTTTTAATTTAGGTTTGTTTACTTCATTTTTGGTACACTGACTTCCTCTTTATCAAAAAATAGTAATTTATGTTGCAATTTGTATCGTTTTTGGGACATTTGTATCATTTGTAGGACATTAGTCCCAAAAAATAATGAACAATTTTCGAGGTAATGTTCCAACAGTGATACAAATTGCAACTATCGTACTATTATATCATAAGGATTTTAGACAAGTAAACAGACCAAAATTAAATTTTTGTCCTANGCAATTTTGCAAATAGAAAATGCAGAGTTGTGTTTTTACCAGTTGTCATGATGGCGGATCTAATAGCGGCCGGGCTCCAATCGGGATGCAATGAGCGGAGAAGGCCCGCAACACCCGAAACATGGGGACAAGACATGGAAGTCCCGGACATAATGTTGAAAGGAGTCTTTCGGTGGTCAAAGTCCAAATCGCTGGGGTTTGCCGCCTCGCTAAACGAAGCTATTATGTTCACTCCAGGAGCCGTAACATCAGGCTGGAGAGAAAAGCAAAGAATTAGAACGAATTAGTGTTTTTACGTATTTAAATTAACTAATAAACCTTGAGGATCTCAGGGGTGACGAAATTCGGTCCCCTGGACGAGAAGTCGGCCATGACTGGAGCTGGTTTCTTATTAAGCAGAGTAATTGGAGGGCTTATGAGGCCCTCTGGATTCCTGAAAAAGCAATTTTTTTTTTTTTGTATGTGAATAGCAAATATGTAATGAAAAGTTTTTCGGTGCATGGCTACTCAATTGCATACTTTGTACTGTTTAGATAAGCATATAGATCACGGCCGTCCGTGTAACTGATGTGTGTGGCTGGTATAAGATGAGGGTCTTCTGTGATATGAGCCCCATCCATCTTGTCATTGGCTAGAATCATACCGACAGCCCCTGCACGTCCCGCCACTAGTCCCTTCTCCATACGTGGGTTGTCCCCTCGAAGGCAAACGACAATCTTGCCCTTCAACTTCTTCGGGTCCAACGAATCCGGCTTACACAGTATGCTGAGACCGAAAACGGAATAACGTTACCAAAATAATGTTTCGCTATATATCAATTCAAAGTAACGTACAAAAAGGGGGGGAACAAATAGAGAGATCGGCATGAATATGTACGCGTCCGCTTCGCTTGCATTGTGAGCTCTAGCTTTTACAGAGCTAATTAGAGGATAAAATTTTTCCTCCGGCAATGCCTTCGAACGGCTTGCACCCTACAACAAATACAAACAACACATCAAATGACAGATATTTCATTCCTCGGGTACGATGAGTCGACTCGTCTAACAATTAGACTGCAATTCAATACTTTTCCAAAACATTCATATACTACTAGTTTATTCATTCTTACGGTATGATGAGTCGACTCGCTTAACAGTTAGACTGCAATTCAACTCCTTTTCCAAAACATTCATATACTACTAGTTTATTCATTCCTAAGGTAGGTAGGATGAGTCGACTCGCTTAACAGTTAGACTGCAATTCAACTCTTTTCCAAAACATTCATATACTACTAGCTTACACTACAAGAAAATGATTGAAATTCCAACCGAAATATATTTCAATAGAATTCCAACGGCAATTCCAATGGATATTTCAATGCTATTATTTCCGTTGGAATAATTCCAACAGAAATTCCAATAAAAATATTCCGTTGGAATGAATTTTCCATCGAAATTTTCGTTGGATTTACGGTAGATTTTCCAACGGTGGTGGAAATAAAAATTCCAACGGAAATTGCATATTCCAATGGAAATTCCTACGGTGAAAAGCCGTTGGAAATATAGCCGTTTGAATCATCAAATTCCATCTAAAATTTCAATGAAAAAAACATTCCAACGGAATATTTTCCTTGGAATTTCCGTTGGAATCATTCCAACGGAAGTTATACCATTTGAATATCTGTTGGAATTTCCATTGAAATATATTACCATAGGATTTTTCGTTGGAATATAACAATTTTTTTGTAGTGTTATTTCATTCCTAAGGTAGGATGAGTCGACTCGCCTAACAGTTAGACTGCAATTCACCTCTTTTCCCAAAACATTCATATACTACTAGCTTATTCATTCTTAAGGTAGGATGCAGTTGGACTGCAATTCAACTCTTTTCCAAAACATTCCTATAATAGTTTATTCGCCTAACAATTAGACTGCAATTTTTTCACTACTAAAAAAAATTACCTTAAACACCTGTCCGTCACTCAACACGACATTGGCAACAAACTCCCGGCCGATCGTGCTTGCCCCGACGGTTATAATCCACGGGGCCACGTTCGACACGTACCCCAAGTAGGGCCCGTTATTACCGGCCGAGGCCACCACAACAACCCCTCTCCGCATGGCGTGAAAAGCGGCAATCGCGATGCCGTCTTCGAAATAGCCGAAGGCCGACCCGCCGAGGGACATCGACAGCACGTCGACCCCGTCATCGATTGCCACGTCGATAGCCTTCATGATGTCGGCCATCAAGCACACGTTGTCATCGCCCGCGCCCCAACACACCTTGTAGGTGGCCGCGCGGGCCCGCGGGGACCCGCCCTTGGCAGTCCCGTTTCCGGCCCCAAACACGTTGGCCGAAGGCACAAAGCCACCGGCCGCTGTCGAGAGTGTGTGGGTCCCGTGGCCATCCGAGTCGCGCGCGTCTTGGAAGGACGAGTTGAGGGACTTGCCGAGGTGGGCTTCGTAGCCCTTGTTGAAGTACCTTGCCCCAATCAGTTTTCTGCACAAACAAATAAATAAAACCAATTAAAGAAAAATTTAAAGAAACGAAATTAAGAATTAGATGGTAATTGGGAATTAAGTACCTATTGCAAAGATGTTTGTGGTTTTCAAATTGACATATTCCTTTCCACTTTGAAGGAATGGGACCAAAGCCATGATCATTAAAGCTCTTTGATTCAGGCCAAATACCTAATTAGTGAAATAAACAATTGATTGGAATCTTAATAAATCGAGAAAGGTAAAAGATAACAAAGAAGATTAGATTTTATTTTTATTTTATTTTATTTACCCGTATCAATCGTTGCAATGATAGTATCTTCACCATATCTAGCTTTTTCCCATAGGGAAGACTGTTTAACCAAACCGTCATTTTCAAGGTGAAGAAAATCCCATGAATGAGTCGTGTGCAACTTTATCGCCTTGTTCAATAGTACTGATAACACGTCTGGATGATCTATATTTGTGACCAGCAAAAAATTAATAAAAACCAAAGTAAAAACACATAATAATAACAGAAAAAAAAAAATATGGTTATTAATAATGATAAAGGAATATGATATGAAGTATACTAGCAATCTCAGCAGCTTTTTCTTCTTCAAGAACTGTAGCAAAACCATTTATATTCCTTTTGTATGAGTAGAAGATTGAATCTTTGGCCTTTTGCTCACTGCATGAAATAAATTTGGCAACAAATCAAATTAACAACGCACATTATATATCAATATATTACAATAGTAATTTTTTTAT